TGAAGAAATACTTCCTAACGTCCCTGTGACTCGTCTGAGTCTTCAGCTTCCAGTTGTGACCCCTTGTCCCTGTGTCCCCTCTCTGGAACATCCTATCTCTGTCCACCTTGTCTATTCCCCGCAGTATCTTGTATGTCGTTATCATGTCTCCCCTGACCCTTCTGTCCTCCAATGTCATCAGTCCGATTTCCCTTAACCTTTCCTCGTACGACATTCCCTTGAGCTCTGGGACTAGCCTTGTTGCAAACCTTTGTACTTTCTCTAACTTCTTGACGTGCTTGACCAGGTGTGGGTTCCAGACTGGTGCTGCATAGTCCATTATGGGCCTAACATACACAGTGTAGTGTCTTGAACGATTCCTTATTAAGGTATCGGAACGCTATTCTCAGGTTTGCCAGGCGCCCGTATGCTGCAGCGGTTATTTGGTTGATGTGTGCCTCCGGTGATGTGCTCGGTGTTATGGTCACCCCAAGGTCTTTCTCCCTGAGTGAGGTCTGTAGTCTTTGTCCACCTAGCCTATACTCTGTCTGCGGTCTTCTTTACCCCTCCCCAATCTTCATGACTTTGCATTTGGCTGGATTGAATTCGAGAAGCCAGTTGCTGGACCACATGTCCAGCCTGTCCAGGTTTCTTTGCAGTCCTGCCTCATCCTCGTCCGATTTAATTCTTCTCATCAACTTCACGTCATCTGCGAACAGGGACACTTCAGTCTATTCCTTCCATCATGTTGTTCACATATATCAAAAATAGCACTGGTCCTAGAACTGACCCCTGTGGGACCCCGCTCGTAACAGGCGCCCACTGTGATACCTCTTCACGTACCATGACTCGTGTGTGTGTGTGTGTGTGTGTGTGTGTGTGTGTGTGTGTGTGTGTGTGTGTGTGTGTGTGTGTGTGTGTGTGTGTGTGTGTGTGTGTGTGTATTTGCCTAGTTAGTTACCATATTGTCCTAGTGCAGGCAGGGCCAGATTAAGAAGTCTCTGGGCCCTAGGCTATTCAGATTGGCGGGGCCCCTTTGAGTTACGGGTAAGCGAAGCGACCCCTTCCAGCTTGGGGGTAGGGGGGGGGTCGGTGTGAGCCTGTTTAAGGTCTAATTAAATACATTCTGGCTATTTAGATTAAATTTAATAGGGAAAGTACATCAAGACAACCAAAACCATTGACCAACAGCCATTATAACTATCTTGTTAAATCATGCATTTTAAAGAGAATAAACTCAAGACAGCATAGTATTACTAGATTAGGCTATTAAAGTAGTGACATCATGTACCTATTATATTCAGCATAATTGCTACAGCACTATTATTCCCTTTATAAATCACTGACCATTATTGTTATCATTGCATCATGCATAAGACTATCAAATCATATAAACTACAGAAAATTGGAGAGGAATCTCCCATACTCATCCATTAGTGGGAAAACACAGCTGTTCTGATGTAAACAAAGGCGTGTTGAGTGTTACCATCTGTGGTTAGGTTTATTTCTTTTTATTTTATTTTATTTCATTATTTATTTTTGCTTTGATTAATTTTTAAAAATCAATTTTACTCTCCAAACACTTGAACTTTTTAGGTAGGGACCCCTTTGCACTTGCACCATGTGCGCAGTCTTGGATGAGCCCCTGAACCCCTTGGACCGCGGGGCCCTAGGCAAATGCCTAGTTTGCCTATGCGTTAATCCGGCCCTGAGTGCAGGTGTGTGTATGTGTGTATATGTGTGTGTTCATGTGTATGGGGGAGGTGTGAGGGGGAGATACTGCTAACACATACCAGTAATTCTGGGTTATAAAAAGTGGAACTTGCTACTAGGGTCTAGAGCTTCTATGAGTGTCTACCCTTTGTGTGTGCTTGTGTGTGAGGGAGGGATGGTTAGGGGGGGGGTGGGTGGTGTGGTTGAAAGATCCGTCGTGTAGGCACAAATTTAGTCTCATTTATCTTTCCCAATTATGCTACTCTCTCCACTTACTGCCCTTTCTGGATTTACGTATTAATTGTTGCTGGTTATTATCATATTCCTTGTTAACATTGAGAGAGGACTTCCTAGCTTCCTAAGTATTCTTACTGCTAATAACTACCGGTAGTAACACTGCCCTACCCCTGTGTGTGTGTGTGTGTGTGTGTGTGTGTGTGTGTGTGTGTGTGTGTGTGGGGTGTGTGTGTGTGTGTGTTGTGTGTGTGTGTGTGAGAGGTGTCTTGTGCGGTGTAATGACTGGTCGCAACTTCTTGTGACCTGACCACAACCCTCCTGGGACTTGACCCTCGCACCGTCTTACAATGTTGCCTTTAACCCTTTCAGGGTCCGTCCCGTAGATCTACGGCTTTATGGTGAGTGTCCAAACCGTAGATCTACGCCATTGAGCTCAGCTCACTCTGATAAACTGTGAGTGGTACATTTGGGCCTAGATATGAGAGAATACATCTATGTGGTATGTGTGCACCACATAAAACAGATCCTGCAGCACACTATGTATAATGAGAGAAAAAAACTGAAATCATGATTTTTCGATTAAAACAGCAACTTTGCAGTGTTTTTTCGTATGTTTTTTATAGTTGTATTTGCGATTTCTTGGTCTCATTTGATAGAATGGAAGACATATTACAGAAAAAGAGATGATTTTGAATGGTTTTAGCACTGGAAATGGCTTGAAACTGAGCTCAAAGTAGCGGAAATGTTAAATTTTTGCCGATATTCAGAGTAAACAAACGACCTCACACGTCTAATACACGTCAGCTGGTGGGTCTAATATACATTCACAAATATGGTGATGATATTTATACAATTATTATAGTATTACATAACAGTAAATCTTCTATTTTTTGGTGTGAATAAAAATTCATTATGTGAATAAAAATCAAAATGGAATTTATTTGTAAAGTCTCAAAACATAACTAATGAACAGAGGAAATGGTAGTTTAGTGCCAGGAATGCCTAAATTGTTTATTCTGGACCCTATTTTGAAATTGGAATATTTTGAACTTTGTGTTAAATGGCCAAATTAACAATTTCCGATCACTTTATTTTGTAGTTGAAACAGTTGACTTGGCGATTCTTGTGCTCAATCGATAGAATAGAAGTAATACTAGTGAAATAGCTAAGAATTTGGTTGATTGGAATAATGTAATTGGCCTAAAATGGGAGTCAAAGTCGGCAAAATCGCCGATTCGTAAATATCGCTGACACATCAAAATTCGTGAGAGCATAATTTCATCAATTTTCCACCAAATTTCGTACTTTTTGTTTTATTACCTTCACAAAAAGATTCTCTACGATTTCATAAGAAAAAATAACAATTTTTTTTTTTGAAAATTCTTGGACACTGGTGCGTGACTCCAGATTTGGGCCTTGGACCCTGAAAGGGTTAAAAGCTTGTCCCGCCACCTAGCTTATAGTAATACTCGCCTTGTGTGTGTGTGTGTTTGGATTTAAGTATCAATTATTGCTGGTTATTATCCTGTTCCATGTTCACATTGGGAGAGGACTTCCTAGCTTCCTAAGTATTCTTACTGCTAATAACTACTGGAATTAATACTACTCTACTCCTCGCTGGACTCTACCTTCTCACACTCGTCAACACTATATTCACTATGTCTATGCTATTTCTATTCTAATTCTGGTAATAGCTTGCAGGAGTGAGTGACCAGTATCAAACAGTATGCAAAGCCAGCCAGGGCCTTCAACATGCAAACCACAAATAGGCGAATGAAACTTGCGCTCAATGGTGCGGTGACAAGTTGCCAGCTGCTGATGACGAAGTCGTCGTACGTAGGCCTTAAATCCCTATTTTGGAGATCCTTCATCCGTGATGTTTATAACCATATATTCTCATACATCCCGCTTCCTCATGCGATTTCACTCTTCACTGATGATAGTGTACACTGCACATTATATACACTTCACTTTATATGTATAATGGCACACAACTTGTCATGGCGTCACTTCTTCAGGCCTACCGCTGCCAATGTGGCAACAGCGCCTAAGACCCCCAACGGTTTGGTCTTTGAAATATTTTGATTTCAGCTTTCCTCTCACTTTTTTTAACTAATAACTTTAATTATCACTCTAGTGTTGTTCACTGACGTTCCACTACCACTGACTACAGCTAGCTGTTATTGCACGCCTTACAACGCTAAGGTTCTCGGAGCCTTGTTACCCACATCTGCACCCCACGGACCCACGCGTGTGTGTGTGTGTGTGTGTGTGTGTGTGTGTGTGTGTGTGTCTCTGTCTGTCTGTCCACTTGCTTATGTATGTCGGTATTTGTCTGTACATATATGTATGTGTCTAAATAAGTTGACCTTAGCATTCACAGAATCAACCTTGAGCTAATCAGTGTTGAGTAATTATAATTTAGGTTAAGTTAGTCCTAATCTGCCTGAAATGCACTATATAATTAGGGACTCTTCCATGTTAGTTTAATAGCTTTATTATTCACTCCATACCCATGGTGTGGGTAGGAGTTAAAAGATTACAGAGGCACTTAATGGGTCCAGGGAGTCATAACCATTGTAGTACAATGTGAAAGCAAATAGGATATTATAATATCTTTATTTCTACAAGTACATCAATGACACTGCTGTATAGAAAGCCGCCTGTTATACAGAGCATTTTGGGCAAATTAAGTCAGTTTTGTCCCAGGATGTAACCCTCACCAGTCGACTAACACCAGGTACCCATTTTTACTGACGGGTAAACATGGACAACTGGTGTAAGAAAACATGCCCAGTGCTTTCATCCTTGCCAGGAATCGAACTCAGACCCTCAGTGTGTGAAACAAGAGCTTTTGTTACACTTGATAAGTAACATATTACCACACCTGATCAGTGGCTTCATACTTAGCCACACAAAAGGAACACTGTATAGAGGTATATCTTGTACATGCTGCACCTGAGTGTCACTATTGCTGGCTATCTTTGACCCGATAAGGAGGCAGGCTTTTCATCCCTTCATGTACAGAAATGGTTAAGCTTTTACTGGGTTTAATATATCTTGCATTCCAGATAAAGATGGGGACTACATTGCAAGTTCTGCCATCTACTGCCATACCTGTTGGCTTCATGTGGGCAGCATGGATAGTATGGGCAGTGGTGGGCAGCAGTGGTATGTGGGTAGTGGAGGGAGAGTTTGGTCCTCAGTGTGAAGAGATTAAGATCCCAATGTGTCAGAACATGCCCTACAACCTCACCCGCCTCCCCAACCTTCTTCACCATTCCACACAGGAAAACGCTCAGCTGGCCATAGAGCAGTTCGAGGTAGGTAATTGGCAGTTTGTAATTACATATTTATAGCAGTGTAAGTAGAGCTATGCTCCTGAAGTCCAGTCTTTGATATACAGTGGAACTCTGGATTTTGTACTTAATCCATTCCAGAAGGTTGGTCTAAATCCGAAACGTACGAAAACCGAAGTAATATTTATTATAAGAAATAATGTAAATACAATTAATCTGTTACAGACACCCAAAAATATCAACAAAAAATACATTTTTGAAGAATAACTATAGTTTTTACATACAGAAAGCAATAAATAAATATAAAGCACTAATGAAATGGATAAATGAACATTTAAATCACTATTACACAACTTTATTGAAAACTTGTTGGCATATGGAAGGTGAGGAGGGAAGAGAGAGAGGAGAGCTTATTGTTTGGAAGGGAAATCCCCCTCCATAAGGACTTCAGGTATCAAAACCCTATCTAGGGTTACTTCCCTTCTTTGTCTTTTACTGGCACTGGACACCTGTCACACTAAAAATCTGTCCAGAGAGCTCTGTTTCTAGCATCTCTCTAAGATTTGCCTAAAATGGAACAAGGTATTGTCACTGAAAATGTTGCAGCTAAGGCTTGTATCAGCTTGGTCAGGGTGATATTTTTCCACAAAAGTTTGCAACTCATTCCACTTTGCACACATGTCCTTAATCACTGAAGAAGGCACCTTTCCCCTCTCTCTTCCTCCTCCTCTGAAGCAATCTCCTCAGCTGTGGTATGTTGCTGCTGCAGTTGAAGGTCTTGCAGCTCTTCAATGGTTAGCTCTCCCCTGTGGTCATTCACCAACTTTTGCACATTCTGGCCACTCACCTCCATCCCCATGGATATCCCCAAAGACACAAGTGTAGGGTCGTCAGCCTCAAACCCTTCAAAGTCCTTGTCGAGGACACATTCTGGCCATAATTTTCTCCAAGCAGAGTTCAAAGTCCTGGAAGTCACTCCCTGCCAAGCCTTACTTATAAGGTTTATGCAGTGGAGGATATTGAAGTGATTCCTCCAGAACTCTCTGGGGGTCAGTTCAGTGTCCAACGTCACTTCAAAGCACCTTTGAAACATTGCTTTGGTGTAGAGTTTTTTGAAGTTAGAAATGACCTGCTGGTCCATGGGCTGGATGAGAGCAGTGGTGTTAGGAGGCAAGAACTTCACTGTTATAAAACTGAAGTCCCTAAACAATTGGTCTTCCAAGTCTGGAGGATGAGCAGGAGCATTGTCCAGTACCAGGAGGAACTTGAGTGGCAAGTTATTTTCCAGTAGGTATTTTTTCACACTCGGGCCAAACACTTCATGGACCCAGTCAGTGAAAATTTACCTCATGACCCACATCACACAATTTACTCTTGACGACATTGTCTTGAACACACGGGGATTTTCAGAGTGATACACCAGTAAAGGCTTCACTTTGAAATCCCCACTAGCATTACCACAGAACAAAAGTTAGCCTATCCTTCATAGGCTTGTGTCCTGGCAGTGCCTTCTCCTGCATGATGTAGGTCCTCTTTGGCATTTTCCTCCAAAAGAGGCCTGTTTTGTCACAATTGAACACTTGTTGGGAGACAAATTTTTCAGCTTCTACTTACTCCTTGAATTCATCAACGAATTCTTCGGCTGCATGTTTGTCCAAACTTGCAGCCTCACCATGCCTTACAATACTGTGTATGCCACTACGCTTCTTGAATCTGTTGAACCAGCCTCTGCTGGCCTTAAATTCACTAACAGCCCCACTCATTCCAGGCATTTTCTTTACAGGATCCACATACAGCTGCCTTGCCTTTTCACAATGATTGACTCCACAACACTATCTCCCACTAATTGTTTTTCATTGATCCACACCAACAACTTCACATCTTCGATTGTTTGTATTCTCTGTTTCATTAGCATATTTACCCCTTTTGCAACTTTAGCTTCCTTTATTTCTACTTCCTTTGCCAGGATGGAGCAGATTGTTGATTTCGACTTCCCATATATCCTGACAAGCTTGGCTAAACGTATGACACTTTGATATTTTTCTACAATCTCTTTCTTGAATTCTATCGTCTTTCTCACCTCCTTTACCAAAGGGCTGGCACTAGGAACTTTCTTTGGGCCCGTGGTGGCTTATTTCGTAGTCACACTCAATAGTTAAGCACAAAAAACAATGGCTTATTATGAAATGTTTCAGATGAACGCACGAAGTAATGCTCACTTGACCAGTGACAGAGCCAGACTGAGACATGTATGCATGAGTGGCGGCTTTCCGGATGGGCGGATGCGTCTGATACATACGATTTCCTGGTGGAGATATGAAATCTGGACCAAAATTTTGCCCAAAAAAGTGGTCTAAATCCAAAATATACAGTATTCGGTGCGTACAAATTCCGGAGTTCCGCTGTATGTTTACTCTTATAAAATACATTTTTATATACAATTTCCATTGACAAGCACTGAATAGAAGTTATTGATACTATTCCTCCATTAATAGCTGTGGTTTTTTTTATTCTCCCAGTTGATGGTACTGTATTAAGAAATCTCCCCTATCAGTTCTTTCACATCCTGATATAATCTTTTTTATGATGAATAAAAATGATTGATCACTGTAATTATAAGTATTGTTTGTACTGATTGTAATGATGTATTTGTAATAAGTAATGGGATTAGTGTAATGATAAATGAGTCATAATGAGTGATGAGTAAAATGAAGGGTTGTAAATATGATGATGGTGAAATGTGCAACAAGGAAGAGTACAGTAGAAAAAGATGAGGGTGAGTCATTTATTCTCATGGAGTGAAACGTGAGTTGTTAATCCCTAACCTGCAAAATTTGACCTATACATGAGAGAATGGGTCTGTGCGGTGGGTGTGCTCAGTACAGAATATAAAAAAAATTCCTGCCTTGCTCAGTGTATGATGGAAATACCTAATGTCTGACCCTGAATTTGGGTTAAAACAGTGACTTGGGCATTTCTAAGGTGGCTCTTTCTTGGTACTGGAAGACTGACCAGAGGGCATACAACTGAAATGGACAAAATTTGAGTTAAAGACAAGAAACGGCCTGAAATAGGCGTGAAAGTTGCGAGAAATGTCTGTTTTATGTATTTTTACTAAGCCAGCTCTATTAGGATTGTTTAACTATGACCAAGCATTCTTGGTTATCGTTTACTAAGCTGAGAAATAAGGACTTAAAATGGAGAGCAAGCAGTATATAGAAGAGGCCTGGGGATGTGATTAATAAATATAGGGAAGATTGCATTAGTAACTGGAATTCTGTAGTTTTTGTTTTGGACTCTGTTTTCAAATTGGACTTTGTTGAAAATAGTGTAAAATTGGCTAAATTACCAAATTTGGGGACTTGGTAGGGTAGTTCTGATTTTTCAATGGGCAGTTTCTTATTATCATTGGATAGTATAAGGTATACTGGTAAAATAGCTAGAAATTGAGGCCTATTTTAAATATATTCCAGTCTTCAAACAGAGGACTGGAATAGACTTAAAATAGGCTTCAAAAGGGGCCTCAAAATGGGCAAAATTACTGTTGTGTACAGTGCTCTTTGACATCTAACTTCATGTCTTTGTAATTCTGTATATATTACATCAGATTTTGTATTTTTGGTGTCATTACCTTTGAATAAGATTTTTTGCCATTTTGGAAAATAATTTTTTTTTTTTTTTACATAAATGTCAACACAGAAAGGGTTCTCAAATTGAGGGCTGATGTCAATTTAAGAGTTACTATCTGAGCTAGCTCAGGTTTAACCAGTTCAGGAAGATTCATTCAACTTTGCTTGCCAATAACCTTCCATCTTCTGTAAACAATATTGTAAGATGTCTGGACTTGATTTGCCAATAACAATTCTTGTACCACAAAGAATACTGTCACTCATCTGGAACTTCCTTGCTTTAATAATTTATCATCAAGGTAAGCTTCTGCAGTTGTAATGGTTATAATTCTTCTTTTGCACTTTAGCTACTGGGATGGACTAAATGTTCAGACCAGCTGGAGTTCTTCCTGTGCTCCATGTACGTACCCATCTGTACAGTGGGGTTTGCCAATGAAGCTATCCCACCATGTAGGAGTGTGTGTGAGGCAGCAAGACTTGGTTGTGAGCCACTGCTTGCTAAGTTCAACATTCCCTGGCCCACCAACCTACAGTGCCACACACTGCCTGTGTACGACCGCGGTGTCTGCATCACACCACAAGCCATCATTGCCTCGGGTCAGTTCCTTTTCAAAAGTTTTTATCTATAATGACAACCAGTATCACTATAATCCAGACATAAATAAAAAAAGAATACCCATATAGAAGAGATTTGCTCATGGGAAATCCATTAACCATATTTTGAATGAAATTCTATATCTGTAGTGATATTTCAGTTTAGGAGTTATGCGTCAAGCTAAAAAAAAAAAAAAATAGGTACCAGGAAGAAATCTTGCAAATATTCAAAGCATAAAGAATAACAAGACACAATATCATGACTAGAACAATACACAAATAACCCTCACATAGGAAACTGAAACTTGTAACCACTTTACACAATTCCCTCCTGTCATTACACTACTTCCATCCCTGCCCACTCTCGTATATATTCTGGCTCATTTCCCTTTACACTTCTGTGTGACTAGTTAATGGTCCAAGGTGGACCAAAACGTTATAAGTTTCAGTCTTCTATGTGCCGGTTATATATGTATGGAATTGAAGCATTTCAGGAGAGACCCTTCAGTAAAAACCTTGGATAATCAAAGCATGTTCACTACAAAGCTTGCAAATTTGGGGGTATGGCTAAATATTATGTTATTGTTTTTTCACTGACTCTGTTAAGTGGATTTTGGGGAATCTGGCATCTAGAGGCAAGATTAAAGCATTTCTTATCTACAGCTAAATATTGGAGAAAGTGCTGTCTAGATGCATAATAAGTCACATAAATTTAATATCAACACCACCACCACCCATTTAATCTGTCATCACCACCACTTATCACCACTTCAGCCTTTAGTGCCATCACTATCATTATCAACACCATCATAACCATCACCACCACCTGTAACCCCTCTGTTTCCTTCCTCACTTAACTTCTATCTTTCTCATATGCCATCTCATCCCCTCCATTACTTTCCAATCCTCTCAGTCCATTTCCCTTGTATCCAGCTTCCCATACCCTCACATTATTCCTTCATTCCACACAAGGGTATTCTTGTCCCTCTTTGTATGACTTATTTCATGCTACTGGCTGTGTTTAATGTTTTAACCCTTTCACTGTCGGTCTCGTAATATTATGGCTTGCAAACCAGTATCTGTCTCATAATACTACGCCAAAATTCTTGCAGATTCCGATCTTGCCAGAGAAAGCTGGTAGGCCTACATATGAGAGAATGGGTGTGAGTGGTCAGTGTGCGCAGTATAAAAAATCCTGCAGCACGCAGTGCATAATAAGAAAAAAAAACTCCGACTGTGCATTTGGTTTAAAACAGCAACTTTGTGGTGTATTTTTCTATGGTATTTATGGTTGTATTCTCGTTTTCTTGGTCTCAATTGATAGAATGGAAGATATATTACAGAAACAGGCAATTTTGAATGGTTTATGGACTAAAACTACCTTGAAATTGAGCTCAAAGTCGAGGAGATGTTAGTTTTTGCCAATATTCGAGAGTAAACAAATCATGTCATGTGTCCAATACACGTCAATTGGTGGGTCTAATATGCTTCCACAAATGCACTGATATTATTTATACCATTTTCACAATAATGCAGTAGTCTGCATAACAGTGCATCTTCTATTTTTTGGTGTGAAAAAAAAAATTCAAAATGGAAAGCAAGCATAATATAAGAGGGGCCTGGAGACATGACTAATAAATAGAGAAAAATGTTACTTTAATGCTAAGAATGTTTGCATTGTTAATTCTGGACCCTATTTTTAAATTGGCCTTGAATTGTGTATGAAATTGGCCGAATTACCAATTTCTGATCACTTTATTGGGTAATTGAAATTGGTAAATGGCTAGTTTCTTGTACTCAATCAGTAGAACAAAAGGAGTTCTAGCAAAATAGCTATGTGCTTGGTCGACTGGAACAATGGAATTGGCTGAAAATGTGGCTCAAAATGGGCTAAATCGCCAGTGCGTAAATATCGCCGAGACCACTAATTTTGCGAGAGCGTAATTCCATAAGTTTTCTGTCAAATTTCATACTTTTTGTTTAATTACAATTGGGAAAAGATTCTCTATCATTTCATAAGAATTTTTTTTTTTTTAAATTCTTTGACACTGAGAGCAAGTTTGTGAGCAGGGGTCTCGACAGTAAAAGGATTAAGTGTGCGTCTTTGAATTTGGGCCTCTTGTTTAGGTGAAACATTTGGATTTTTTAAATATATGCAGGAGTTTTAACTTGTAGGAGTGTATTTAAATCTGGCTGTGGTAATGTGTAAACAACTTTAATTTGATAGTACAGTGGAACCTCAGGTTACGAACGCCCCACCATGCGAATTTTTCAGGATACGAACTGTCGTTCGGTCGATTTTTTGCTTCAGGATATGAAAGAAATTTCAGGATGCGAACTTCCCCTTCAAAGGAGATTCCTTAACCCTTTCAGGGACCAAAGGCCAAATTTCAAAGTGCGCACCAGTGTCCAAGAATTTTAAAAAAATAATTTTGTTATTTTTTCTTATGAAATGGTAGATAATCATTTTCTGGCGGTAATAAAACAAAAAATACGAAATTTGATGGAAAATTGACAAAATTATGCTCTTTCGAATTTTGATGCGTCAACGATATTTACGCATCAGCGATTTTGCCGACTTTGACTCCCATTTTAGGCCAATTATATTACACCAGTCGACCAAATTCTTAGCTATTTCACTAGTATTACTTCTATTCTATAGATTGAGCACAAGAAATTGCCAAGTCAACTGTTTCAACTACAAAATAAAGTGATCGGAAATTGGTAATTCGTCCAATTTAATGCAAAGTTCTAAATACAGTGGACCCCCGGTTAACGATTTTAATCCGTGCAAGAGGGGTAATTGTTATGCGAAATAATCGTTATGTGAATGAATTTTCCCCATAAGAAATAATGGAAATAAAATTAATCCGTGCAAGACACCCAAAAGTATGAAAAAAAAAATTTTACCACATGAAATATACATTTTCCCACACACAAAGAGAAGGATACATGCACAATAGTAGAGTAGTACATGCACAGTATATATTGTGCATGTACTAGTCTACTAAATGAAGAATAAATGACACTTACCTTTATTGAAGATGCAGCAATGACTGATGAGACACTGTGTCCTGGGAGTGCCTTTTCCTCCTGAGTACTGTAGGTCCTGTTTGGCATTTTCTTCCAGAACAGGCCTTATCACACTGTGTATGCCACTACGATTCTTAAATCTCTCAAACCAACCTTTGCTGGCTTTAAATTCACCAATATGAGCACTAGTTCCAGGCATTTTTCCCTGTTCACCTGGGTGTTAGTCGACTTGTGTGGGTTGCATCCTGGAGATAAGATTAAGGACCCCAATGGAAATAAGTTAGACAGTCTTCGATGACACTGACTTTTTTGGGTTATCCTGGGTGGCAAATCCTCTGGGGTTAATTGTTTCTTGGTATTCTCAATAAGCCACACCAACAACGGTGCTACAGCAGCAGCAGCAGCTGACAGTGCAGCAGCAGCAGCAGCTGACAGTGCAGCAGCAGCAGCAGCTGTACCACCAATAGTAGCGATGGTTGATTGGGGTTTATTATACAACCTGGCCAGCTCGGAGACATGCACTCCACTTTCATACTTATCAATGATCTTTTTCTTCATCTCTATTGTAATTCTCACCCTTATTGCTGTAGGGTTGGCACTAGAAGCTTTCTTGGGGCCCATGGTCACTTATTTTCCAGAAAAAGCACCGAAAACACTGTAATAATACGAAATATTCCGATTGTATGCTTGGATGTTACCGCGGAGGCTGGCTGGTAAACAATGCCACCGGCGGAACATGTGAGCGCGTCTCGGAAGAAAATCGGTAAGCGGGTTTTTAAGCGGTATGTGAGGCAAAATTTTTGCAATTAAAGTAAGCGGTATGCGAAATAATCGCTATGTGATGCCATCGTTATGCGGGGGTCCACTGTATTCTAATTTCAAAATGAGGTCCAGAATAAACAATGCAGGCATTCCTGGAACTAAACTAACATTTCCTCTGTTCATTAGTTACGTTTTCAGGCTTTACAAATGAATTGCATTTTGATTTTTTATTCACATAATGAATTTTTATTCAAACCAAAAAATAGAAGATTTACTGTTATGCAATACTGTAATAATTGTATAAATAATATCACCACATTTGTGAACGTATATTAGACCCACCAGCTGGCGTGTATTAGACGTGTGGGATCATTTGTTTACACTTGAACATCGGCAAAAATTTAACATTTCTGCTATTTTGAGCTCAGTTTCAACCCATTTTCATTATTAAAACCAATCAAAATCATCTCTATTTATGTAATATATCTTCCTTCCTGTCAAATGAGACCAAGAAATCGCAAATACAGTGGTCCCTCGTTTATCGTAATTAATCTGTTCCTGGAAGTGTTACTATTATCGAAATTTACGACTTTCGAAATTTACTATTTTCGAATAAATTTTCCCCATAAGAAATAATGTAAATACAATTAATCCATTTCTGACACCCAGAAGTACTAAAACAAAAATTTTTTTTACATGACATATAGATATAGTACATAAACAATACATTGGCACATGATGAATGAAACATTAACAGCATAACACTTACCTTTATTGGCGATTCTTCTTAGTGTGTGGAAGACTGGAGGAGAGTGATTGGATTATTTACAGTTTGGAAGGGGAATCCCCTTCCATCAACACCTCAGGTACCAAGTGCTTTTCTGGGGTTACTTCTTCTCTCAGTTTCTTAATGCCACTAGGACCAGCTTGAGAGTCACTGGAGTCTTGTCTCGGAAAATAACTATCCAGAGAGCTCTGTTTCTGGCGTCTCTTTAACACTTCCCTAAAATGGGCCAAGACTTTGTCACTGTACATGTTGCCAACCTGGCTTGCAACAGCCTTGTCAGGGTGATGTTTCTCCATAAATATTTCCATCTTACCCCACATTTCAAAAATCTCCTTTATTTCTGGCGAGCCAGTGTTTTGACAAAAATATCATTACAATTTTTGAAAATTACGACTATCGAGCCACCACTGTACAACTATAAAAAACACACGAGAAAACACTGCAATGTCGCTGTTTTAATTGAAAATTACGGTCTCAGTTTTTTTTCTCTCATTATGCACTGTGTGCTGCAGGATCTCTTTTATGTGGTGCACACATACCACAGATGTATTCTCTCATATCTAGGCCCAAATTTACTGCTCACAGCTTATCAGAGTGAGCTGAGCTCATGGCGTAGATCTACGGTTTGGACCCTCAATGTATATAGCCATAGATCTACGGCACGGACCCTCAAAGGGTTAAATAAATAAACAAATAAATAAAATATGTATTTCTTTGCAAAGGTTACAGTATGTGTTTACATATCATAATATGACTGGAGCAAAGAAAGCCACTATCATGCTGAGGCATTTCGGGCAGAAATGCCTACTTAACCCTTAAACTGTCCAAATGTAGATCTACGTTTTTTCAACATTTGAAAGTATGTAAAAAAACATAGAGCTTCTTTTGTTTTTTTTTTTTTTTACACATTTGAAAACGTGTAAAAAACTTTGATCTACTTTATTTTTGTTATAATTGAAAATATGTAAAAAAAAACGTAGATCTACTTTTGGAGCACTACGCATGTGAACAGATCTGTTTGAACAGTTTAAGGGTTAAGACTACATAAGTCTAGACAGGTGCAAAGTGCACTAGTAGTAGTTACCAATGTTTTGCTGATGGTGGCACCAACTGCTGGCAGCCTTTTGAAGTTTCTCCTTACTGTTATTATTATTATTATTATTATTATTTTTTTTTCTCAACAAGTCGGCCGTCTCCCACCAAGGCAGGGTGACCCAAAAAAGAAAGAAAATCCCCAAAAAGAAAATACTTTCATCATCATTCAACACTTTCACCACACTCGCACATTATCACTGTTTTTGCAGAGGTGCTCAGAATACAACAGTCTAGAAGCATACACATATAAAGATACACAACATATCCCTCCAAACTGCCAATATCCCAAACCCCTCCTTTAAAGTGCAGGCATTGTACTTCCCATTTCCAGGACTCAAGTCCGACTATATGAAAATAACCGGTTTCCCTGAATCCCTTCACTAAATATTACCCTGCTCACACTCCAACGGATCGTCAGGTCCCAAGTACCATTCGTCTCCATTCACTCCTATCTAACACGCTCACGCACGCTTGCTGGAAGTCCAAGCCCCTTGCCCACAAAACCTCCTTTACCCCCTCTCTCCAACCCTTTCGAGGACGACCCCTACCCCGCCTTCCTTCCCCTTTAGATTTATATGCTTTCCATGTCATTCTACTTTGATCCATTCTCTCTAAATGACTAAACCACCTCAACAACCCCTCTTCTGCCCTCTGACTAATACTTTTATTAACTCCACACTTTTTCCTAATTTCCACACTCCGAATTTTCTGCATAATATTTACACCACACATTGCCCTTAAACAGGACATCTCCACTGCCTCCAACCGTCTCCTCGCTGCTGCATTTACCACCCAAGCTTCACACCCATATAAGAGTGTTGGTACTACTATACTTTCATACATTCCCTTCTTTGCCTCCATAGATAACGTTTTTTGACTCCACATATACCTCGACCCACCACTCACCTTTTTTCCCTCATCAATTCTATGATTAACCTCATCCTTCATAAATCCATCCGCCGACACGTCAACTCCCAAGTATCTGAAAACATTCACTTATTATTATTATTATTACTATTATATTGTATTATTATTTTTATAATATTATTATTAGTAGTAGTAGTACGTACATATGTGGTGAGAGGCTCTTGATCTAGGGAATTTGATCTGTGCTCCAGGTCCCTAAATTAATAATAATAATAATAATAATTTATTATTATTATTATTATTATTATTATTATTATTATTATAATTATTATTATTATTAATTTAGGGACCTGGAGCGCAGATCAAATTCCCTAGATCAAGAGCCCCTCACCACATACGTATGTACTACTACTACTACTACTAGTAGTACTAATACTACTACTAATAATAATAATACATAATTATTATTATAATACTTACGTACTAATAATAATACATAATTACGTATATTAGGTAGTAGGTTGGTAGACAGCAGCTGCCCAGGGAGGTACTACCGTCCTGCCAAGTGAGTGTAAAACGAAAACCTGTAATTGTTTTACATGATGGTAGGATTGCTGGTGTCCTTTTTTCTATCAATTAAACATGCAATATTTCAGGTATGTCTTGCTACTTCTATTTACACTTAGGTCACACTACACATACATGTACAAGCATATATATGCACACACCCCTCTGGGTTTTCTGCTATTTTCTTTCTAGTTCTAGTTCTTGTTATTTCCTCTTATCTCCATGGGGAAGTGGAACAGAATTCTTCCTCCATAAGCCATGCGTGTTGTAAGAGGCGACTAAAATGCCAGGAGCAAGGGGCTAGTAACCCCTTCTCCTGTATAAATTACTAAATTTGAAAAGAGAAACTTTTGTTTTTCTTTTTGGGCCACCCTGCCTCGGTGGGATACGGCCAGTTTGTTGAAAGAAGAATTATGTACAATAATAATATAATAGTATATGATAATAATAATATATAATATAATAGTACGTACAATAATAATTATAATAATAGTACATGTATGTACGTACTGCGTATAATTTAGTTTGACAACACCACCGCCAGATAGCATTGTCAAACAAAACAATGGTCACCAGTGCACATGTGCTTATGGAGTTACCCTCGCGGCGCAAGGAATTCTCGTGATTTCCTTATGTTTTGTGCAGTTAATTTGCCAGATATCTTTCTTCTGACCATGGGTCCTAAGAAAGCAAGTGCAGTGGACAGTGCCGAGAAGAAAAAGAGGATGATTTGCATGGAATTAAAGCAAAAAATGATTAATAAGCACAGACTAGGTACGAGGGTTGAGGACTTGGCGAGTCGAGTACAAGCGTAGCCCCTCTACTATATATATACAATACTAAAGCAGAAGAGTCTATAAAGGCTATAGCGCCAGCAAAGGGCATTACAGTAATTTGTAAGCAGTGGACCTCTGTCAATGAAAAGATGGAAAAGCTGCTGTTGACATGGTTGACGGAGAAACAGCTCACAAGAGATACGTAGTGTAGTGAGATAAACATAAAAATTGTACATAACAGTTCTTAAGATTATTATTATTATTATTATAATCAAGGGGGAAGCACTAAACCCGTAGGATTATGCAGCGCCTGAGGGGGGAAGGTATTCAGGCTTAATTTGGGGAACTGGAGCACAGATCCAATTCCCTAAATCAAGAGTCTCTCACCATCATCAAGGAGCCTTCCTTGAGGGGCAGTTCTTAAAAAAAGTGTGAACTCCTGACAGGATATGTCGCTCTGCATTTCTTCTCCAAGGTGTATGTAAATGCTGTATGTACACCAGATCTAATTCAGTTAGCCTCACAAACTCCGTTTTCTCTTATAACACCCATGACGTTTTCATAGAGCGACCACTCCCGACCACAATCCTCCTCCCTCCGCCGTCCATGTAATGACATATTTTATTCATTCTAGAGTGTATATCAGGTTTCTATGTTATTTATATTGTTTATTTTGTCATATTAGATGAATTGTGACAGATAAATAAACCGTAGAGTTGATATTAGGGTTATTTTGTTGTGCCTCCCGAGAGCAGGAGTTCACCTGGAATGAATTAATTGCATTTCATTTAATTTAAATGAAGAAAATTGACCCAGCATACGAACAAATCAGGATACAAACAAGTCCACAGAACGGATTAAATTCGTAACCCGAGGTTCCACTGTATTTTAGGATGATTGTTTTATGGGTGTGCGAGCAGGAAACCCTTATATCTGTGGAGTACTTAATTACTGACTGTTTCCAGTGATTTCTTAAATACCACAACCCCCTCCTCCCACCCCTTTCACATCCTATTCCCTTCAGCTTCACCTTCCTTATCTTTAACCTATATTCTCCTCACCTCTCTCTCCCAGCATCTTCACCTTCACCTTCCTTCTCCCTCATTCCCATATTTTACCCCACTTAACTAATCTGCTATTCCTACAGATTTTTTTTTTTTCTGCAGATGTCAAGCCAAGGCCCTCCCAGGAGCAAGGTGAGATATTGAACACATCCTCAAGCACAAATAAACCATGAGATAAACACAGACTAGAATTACATTAGAATATAGAAATTTGTGTTAGACAGAAAATTAAATTTGTGAGTCATTAAATAAAAATATTGAATTAACACAGGTAAATGACATGAGGGCAGAATTAAAAACTGTACATAAAGCAGAAAGTAACTAGTCAAAGCCAGTTGAGATAGATAATGAGAATGCAGCAAAGGGAGACAGACCCCTGTAATAAAAGATTAAGGAGAGCTACATAGCTGTTGTCAAACAGAATGAAGAATCAAGGAAAAAAAAGAGATGAGGTAAAAGAGAAAACTACTTCAGCTGTCATAAACACATTAAATTAATAATAACAATAATTATTTATGGTATAAAATACCGACAGGTTGTTAGGTAAGACACATATGCAACAGTTAGGTATCTTTATTTCGAAATGTTTCGCCTACACAGTAGGCTTCTTCAGTCGAGTACAGAAAAGTTGATAGAAGCAGAAGATACTTGAAGATGATGTAATCAGTCCATCACCCTTGAAGTTTTGAGGTGGTCAGTCCCTCAGTCTGGAGAAGAGTATTGTTCCATAGTCTGAAACAATATGGAGTTGAAGTGACAGGATGGAGCCTATATACCGCCAGGAGGTGAGATGTAGGCCACTAGTAGAGGTAAGAATGTTGTCGTTGGAAGGTCAGGTCCCTCTCAAATCCAGCCATTCTTACTAGTAGAAGTTGACAAAGTTGATTTCAGGTCTGCACCAAGATACCCTTATGTTGCAGTGTCTGACAGAGTGAACATTAAAATGGTATAAAATACCGGCAGGTTGTTAGGTAAGACACATATGCAACAGTTAGGTATCTTTATTTCAAAACGTTTCGCCTACACAGAAGTATCTTCTGCTTCTATCAACTTTTCTGTACTCGACTGAAGAAGCCTACTGTGTAGGCGAAACGTTTCGAAATAAAGATACCTAACTGTTGCATATGTGTCTTACCTAACAACCTGCCGGTATTTTATACCATTTTAATGTTCACTCTGTCAGACACTGCAACATAAGGGTATCTTGGTACAGACCTGAAATCAACTTTGTCAACTTCTACTAGTAAGAATGGCTGGATTTGAGAGGGACTGACCTTCCAACGACAACATTCTTACCTCTACTAGTGGCCTACATCTCACCTCCTGGCGGTATATAGGCTCCATCCTGTCACTTCAACTCCATATTGTTTCAGACTATGGAACAATACTCTTCTCCAGACTGAGGGACTGACCACCTCAAAACTTCAAGGGTGATGGACTGATTACATTGTCTTCAAGTATCTTCTGCTTCTATCAACTTTTCTGTACTCGACTGAAGAAGCCTACTGTGTAGGCGAAACATTTTGAAATAAAGATACCTAACTGTTGCATATGTGTCTTACCTAACAACAACAATAATTATTTAGGTAGTAGGTTGGTAGACAGCAACCACCCAGGGAGGTACTACCGTCCTGCCAGGGGACTGTGAAATAGAAACCTGTAACTGTTTTACATGATGGTAGGATTACTGGTGTCTTTTTTCTGTCTCATAAACACGCTGGATAACAGGCATATCTTGCTGCTTCTACTTACACTTAGGTCACACTACACAGGCATGTACATGCATATATATATATACACATCTAGGGTTTTTCTTCTTTTTCTTAATAGCTCTTGTTCGTTTTTTTTTTTTCCTCTCTATTGTCCATGGGGAAGTGGAAAAGAATCTTTCCCCCGTAAGCCATGTGTGTCATATGAGGCGACTAAAATGCCGGGACCAATGAGCTAGTATCCCCTTCTGTATACATTCACTAAAAATGAGAAGAAAAACTTTATAAAACTGGGATGCTTGAATGTGTGTGGATGTAGTGCAGATGATAAGAAAGAGATGATTGCTGATGTTATGAATGTAAAGAAGTTGGATGTCCTGGCCCTAAGCGAAACAAAGCTGAAGGGGGTAGGTGAGTTTCAGTGGTAAGAAATAAATGGTATTAAGTCAAAAGTATCTGAGAGAGTTAGAGCTAAGGAAGGGGTAGCAATAATGTTGAAGGACCATTTATGGAAGGAGAAGAGGGAATATAAATGTGTAAATTCAAGGATTATGTGGATTAAAATAAGGGTTGGATGTGAAAAGTGGGTCATAATAAGCGTGTATGCACCTGGAGAAGAGAGGAGCGTAGAGGAGAGAGAGAGAGAGAGAGATTTTGGGAGATGTCAAGTGAATGTATAGGAACTTTTGAACCAAGTGAGAGAGTAATTGTGGTAGGGGACCTAAATGCTAAAGTAGGAGAAACATTTAGAGAGGGTGTGGTAGGCAAACTTGCAAGTAGGCAAGTTTGGATTGAACTGTGTATAGAAAAGGGTTTAGTTATAGGTAATACATATTTTAAGAAAAAGAGGATAAATAAGTATACAGGATATGATGCAGGGTGTAAGGACAGTAGTTTGTTGGACTATGTATTGGTAGATAAAAGATGGTTGAGTAGACTTCAGGATGTACATGTTTATAGAGAGGCCACAGATATATCAGATCACTTTCTAAAGTTGTAACTACAGTGAGGGTAAGAGGTAGATGGGATACAAGGAAAACAGAAGCAGCAAGTAAGAGAGAGATGAAGGTGTATAAACTAAAAGATGAGGCAGTTAGGGTAAGATATAAACAACTATTGGAGGATAGATGGCCTAGTGAGAGTATAGGCAATGGGGTCGAAGATGTATGGGGTAGGTTTAAGAAAGTAGTGTTAGTGTTCAGCAGAAGTTTGTGGTTACAGGAAAGTAGGTGTGGGAGGGAAGAAGAGCGATTGGTGGAATGATGATGTAAAGAAAGTAGTAAGGGAGAAAAAGTTAGCATATGAGAGGTTTTTACAAAGTAGAAGTGATGCAAGGAGGGAAGAGTATATGGAGAGAAAAAGAGAGATTAAGAGAGTGGTGAAGCATTCTCAAAAGAGAGCAAATGAGAGAGTTGGTGAGATGTTATCTACAAGTTTTTGTGAAAATAAGAAAAAGTTTTGGAGTGAGATTAATAAGTTGAGGAAGCCTAGGGAACAAATGGATTTGACAGTTAAAAATAGGAGAGGAGAGTTATTAAATGGAGAGTTAGAGGTATCAGGAAGATGGAGGGAATATTTTGAGGAATTGCTAAATGTTGATGAAGATAGGGAAGCTGTGATTTCATGTATAGGGCAAGGAGGAATAACATCTTGTAGGAGTGAGGAAGAGCCAGTTGTGAGTGTGGGGGAAGTTTGTGAGGCAGTGGGTAGAATGAAAGGGGTTAAGGCAGCTGGGATTGATGGGATGAAGATGGAAATGTTAAAAGCAGGTGGGGATATAGTTTTGGAGTGGTTGGTAAGGTACCTAGGGATTGGCAGAGAGCATGTATAGTTCTTTTGTATAAAGGCAAATTGGATAAAAGAGAGTGCAAAAATTATAGGGGAATAAGTCTGTTGAGTATACCTGGTAAAATGTATAGTAGAGTTATTATTGAAAGAATTAAGAGTAAGACAGAGAGTAGGGTAGCAGATGAACAAGGAGGCTTTAAGAAAGGCAGGGGGTGTATAGACCAAGTGTTTACAGTGAAACCTGTAGGTGAACAGTATTTAGATAAGGATAAAGAGGTTTTTATGGCATTTATGGATTTGGAAAAGGCATATGACAGGGTGGATAGGGGGGCAGTGTGGCAGTTGGTGCAGGTGTATGATAAAGGAGGTAGGTTACTGAAAGCTGTGAAGAGTTTTTACGAGGATAGTGAGGCTCAGGTTAGAGTATGTAGGAGAAAGGGAGATTATTTCCCAGTAAAAGTAGGCCTTAGACAAGGATGTGCGATGTCACTGTGGTTGTTCAATATATTTATAGATGGGGTTGTAAGAGAAGTGAATGCTAGGGTCTTGGCAAGCAGTGTGGAGTTAAAAGATAAAGAATCAAACACAAAGTGGGAGTTGTCATAGTTGCTCTTTGCTGATGACACTGTGCTTTCGGGAGATTCTGAAGAGAAGTTGCAGAGGTTGGTGAATGAATTTGGTAGGGTATGTAAGAGAAGAAAATTAAAAGTGAAGATAGGAAAGAGTAAGGTTATGAGGATAAAAAGATTAGGTGATGAAAGATTGGATATCAGATTGGAGGGAGAGAGTATGGAGGAGGTAAATGTATTCAGATATTTAGGAGTGGACGTGTCAGCAGATGGTTCTATGAAGAATGAGGTGAATCATAGAACTGATGAGGGGAAAAGGGTGAGTGGTGCACTTAGAGGGGAATGTATGAGAGTATAGTTGTACCAACACTCTTGTATGGGTGTGAAGCATGGGTGATGAATGTTGCAACAAGGAGAAGGCTGGAGGCAGTGGAGATGTCGTGTCTGAGGGCAATGTGTGGTGTGAATATAACGCAGAGAATTGGTAGTTTGGAAATTAGGAGAAGGTGTGGGATTACCGAAACTATTATCCATAGGGCTGAGGAGGGGTTGTTGAAATGGTTTGGACATGTAGAGAGATTGGAACAAAGCAGAATGACTTCGAGAGTGTATAAATCTGTAGTGGAGGGAAGGCGGGGTAGGGGTTGGCCTAGAAAGAGTTGGAGGGAGGGGGTAAAGGAGGTTTTGTGTGTGAGGGGCTTGAACTTCCATCAAGCGGCGTGCGTAAGCATATTTGATAGGAGTGAATGGAGACAAATAGTTTTTAATACTTGACGTGCTGTTGGAGTGTGAGCAAAGTAACATGAAGGGATTCAGGGAAACCGGCAGGCCAGACTTGAGTCCTGGAGATGGGAAGTACAGTGTCTACGTACACTCTGAAGGAGGGGTGTTAATGTTGCAGTTTTATAACTGTAGTGTAAGGCACCCCTCTGGCAAGACAGTGATGGAGTGAATGATGATGAAAGTTTTTCTTTTTCGGGCCACCCTGCCTTGGTGGGAATCGGCCAATGTGTTAATAATAAAAATTATTATTATTGAAGGAAACTGCTGACAGAGAAAAAACAAT